ATTTGTATGCATCTTTATAAATATATACATGGGTGTTTGTCAAAATTATGGTCCCTTGTTGGGTCATTGATATGGTACAGCACCTATAATTTAGGGTACCCAAAAAGGGACCCTAATTTTGACAACTACCCAAACCCTAAACCCCCTAAAACCCTAAACCCCAAAACTGGTTTGTCCGAGTGTGAGCGCCGAAACCCCAAAACCCTAAACCCCCAAACCCAAAACCTCTAAACCCCATAGATCCCTTAAAAGGAACCCCATAGATCCCTTAAAAGGTAACCCCATAGATCCCTTAAAGGTAACCCTATAGATCCCTTAAAAGGAACCCTATGGATCCCTTAAAAGGAACCCCATAGATCCCTTAAAAGGGATCCTTAACGGATGTTACCTGCGAGGCTTTGGGCAAATCCACGCAGTTCGCGCACCCCAAGCCCGGCCGGGGCGGAGCGCGGCACGGCTGCCGCCCCGCGGCTCCGTAGGGGTTTACTTAAAGGATCATGGGACTTAGTAAGTGGGCTTATAAATAAGGTAACTATACGTATAAGTACTTATAACCCCAATTAGGGCACTTATAACCCTACTTACTAAGTCCCATGATCCTCCAAGTAGGGGTTGAGGGGTAGAGAGTTTAGGGGTTTAAGGGTTTAGACTTCGGGGGTTTGGGTGTAGGGGTCATGGGTTTAGGGGTTTAGGGTTTGAGTCATCTCTGTCCTGGCGTGACGCTTCAAGCCAGTTGCAAAAAAAAGGGTTTAGGGTGTAGGGGTTTAGGGTTTAGGGGTTTAGGGTGTAGGGGTTTAGGGTTTGTGTAAGGGGTTCAGGGCTTTTGGGGTTTCGGTGGTTAGGGGTTTAGGGTTTAGGAGCTGGACAACGAGGCCTGCTGCAAAAAGGGTTTAGGAGGGGTGTAGGGGTCATGGGTTGTGGGCCCTAGGTCGAGGGCTTGGGGTTTAGGAGTTTAGGGCCCGGCAGCTCTGCTGTAGAGCGGTCGAAGCTGACCGTGCGGCTTGCGCATATGTAGGTTCTGTGTTTAGTGGTCTAGACGAAGGGAACTTTAAACAAATTTGTGTGCATAGATGCAAGATACCCTCGATTTATCCAGGGTCCGGAAGGGTGGCCCTGGGTACCCTTGGGAACAGGGTCCGAAAGGGTCGCCCGACCCATTCGGACCCTACCTCAGATATTAGAAAAGCAAGCCAGTTAAAACCAGATTTAACTTGCCTGCGGTAGTCCTGCGGTATCACCGCACCGAAAGAATGCCTTTTGGGGGGTGGCTGACGGGGGGGGGCACTAGGCATTGAAATACCTTGTAGACCCCCGGAGTGCCTTGTATGGGGGTCATAGAATATGAGAGAATAGGTGTGCTGGCGAGTGGTACAAAACATTTACCCTGAAAACCTAAACCCTGAAACCTATACACCAAAATCCAGAGACATCCAAAAACTTCAAAATCCAGAATCCTTGGAAGAGCCCCTGAACCCACAAACCCCTAAACCCAGAAATTCTTAACCCTTATGTCGCTTATGTCCCGCAGTAACCCAAAACCCCAAGCGCAGAAACCCTAAACCCAGAAAGCCCTTGAACCCAGATACCCACCAAGCCCCCAAACGCAGAAGCATTGTACCCAAGCGCCTGAACTCAGAAACTGAAAACCCAAAACCACTGAACAGAGGAACCGCTGAACCCAGAAACCCTAAACCCAGAATCCCAGAAACCCTGAGCCCATATCCCAGAAACCTTAAACCCAGATCCCAGAAACCCTGAGCCCATAGCCCAGAAACCCTGGCATGAACAGCCTGGCTTCAAGTGAAATCGGCTTGAAGTTGATCCTGTATGTTCGTCCTTAATCGCTACAGACCTCGCCAGGCTTGCCCGAGTGTGAGTGTCAAAACCCAGAAACCCAAAACCTTGTACTCCAAACCCTTGAACTCAGAAGCTAACAACCCAGAACACCTAAACCCAGAAGTTCTGAACCCCCAAATCTGCGAGTAAGCCCAGAAACCCTGCACGCAGAAACCCTAAACCCAGAAAACTCCTGAAGCCAGAAATGCAGAACCCAGAAACCGCAAACCCCGGAAGCCGCAGACATCATAACCTGAAACCCAAAATCACCGAACCGAGAACCGCTGAACCCAGAAACCGCAAACACCCAAACACAGAAACCCTGTAGAACCCAGAATCCCTAAGCCCTTAAACCAAAACCTTAAACCCCTGGACGCTGCACCGAAGCACAATAGCGGCTTGAAGCAAGTCACATGTCGTGCTCGAATCGAGTGGCCGACATGCCGACGCCACAGGGGCGACGCCGGGCGTCGCAACAGGAATCCACCGAGCGGCGCCCGGCGTCGCCCACACCTGTGGGAGCGGGGTGACGCCGGGCGCCGCTCGGTGGATTCCTGTTGCGACGCCCGGCGTCGCCCCTGTGGCGTCGGCATGTCGGCCACTCGATTCGAGCACGACATGTGACTTGCTTCAAGCCGCTATTGTGCTTCGGTGCAGCGTCCAGGGGTTTAAGGTTTTGGTTTAAGGGCTTAGGGATTCTGGGTTCTACAGGGTTTCTGTGTTTGGGTGTTTGCGGTTTCTGGGTTCAGCGGTTCTCGGTTCGGTGATTTTGGGTTTCAGGTTATGATGTCTGCGGCTTCCGGGGTTTGCGGTTTCTGGGTTCTGCATTTCTGGCTTCAGGAGTTTTCTGGGTTTAGGGTTTCTGCGTGCAGGGTTTCTGGGCTTACTCGCAGATTTGGGGGTTCAGAACTTCTGGGTTTAGGTGTTCTTGGTTGTTAGCTTCTGAGTTCAAGGGTTTGGAGCACAAGGTTTTGGGTTTCTGGGTTTAGGGTTTCTGGGCTATGGGCTCAGGGTTTCTGGGATTCTGGGTTTAGGGTTTCTGGGATATGGGCTCAGGGTTTCTGGGATTCTGGGTGTAGGGTTTCTGCGTTCAGCGGTTCCTCTGTTCAGTGGTTTTGGGTTTTCAGTTTCTGAGTTCAGGCGCTTGTGTACAATGCTTCTGCGTTTGGGGGCTTGGTGGGTATCTGGGTTCAAGGGCTTTCTGGGTTTAGGGTTTCTGCGTTTGGGGTTTTGGGTTACTGCGGGACATAAGCGACATAAGGGTTAATAATTTCTGGGTTTCGGGGTTTATGGGTTCAGGGGCTCTTCCAAGGATTCTGGATTTTGAGTTTCTGGATGCTTTTGCGCAGGCCCCGCGAACTTAGGTAGGAACCCGAGCAAACAACCACGGCCTGGGAAGCTTGAGTGTGCGCCTTGTCCCGAGGCCCGCTGCCTGCTACTTCTGTGAACTTCTGCGTGGGTGCTGGAAAAATATATGCGGAAACCATGCTGAATATCATGAAAACTATGTTGAGCCATACCCAAATTCAAGCCGAGCCCGACGCAGACTCAATGACTACCAGCAGGGTCCGAATGGGTGGGTCCGAAAGCGTCCGGCCAGATCTACGGGAGACTCTGGGAACCACCCTTTCGGACCCACCAAACAGGGTCCGAAAGGGTGTCCCCCGGCCGACCCTGCGTATCTCGATCCTATGATGCAAGAATATGCATTTGTTCGGTTTTAGGAGCCTTCGATGTTGGTGCATCTTCCTGGTTGGCTCGTTTGGTGCCTATTCCTCGTTCTCATCAGCACAGCTGGTTGGAGGTATCCAAGTTCGGCAAATATTCTGGTTCCACAAATTCACCTCTGAACCGATGTCCGTCACAAGAAGGCTCGAATGGACATCATGTAGATGTAAATGATGGGCACAAGTCAGCCGCTTGATGTTTCTAGTCATCGATCTCCCTCTCTCTCTCTCTCAGCTTGCCTTTCCTCGCGCCTGCTCACGGGTGCATCTATGCACCGGATACTGCCCACCTTGTGCGCGTTCTTCACCATGTCTCCGCATCTCAACGTCTCGGTCTCTCTCTCTCTCGCTCTCTCGCGCCTCACTCGGTCTCTTTGCGTGAAGACTTCCACTCAAAGCTCTGGGTGTGCCTCTTAGGCCAGCACCGCGCACGGGCACTCCTCATGGACATGCCGTTGCTTGGCAGAATGCCTGTGGCAGAAGTTCCCGAAACCCGGCAGACCCTAAACAGGGGGTGGATATATTCTGCCTTTGGGGCTCCATGTTCTCTCAGTTCTTTATGAGTGGCCTCGAGAAGCCCTTTCATAAGGTCCAGCGTTCCAGCATAGCAGAGCTTGTGTGTGTGTGGGTGTGCGTGTGCGTGTCTGTTTTCCGGCGTGGGGGCGACGGTCCGGCCATGCATGTTTTGATGCCCTGCTGTAGCCCTACTGTAGCCGCTACTGTAGCGATCCAGTTGTTCAAAGACACAACGCTTTCTGACTTCTTTTTCTCCCTGCTGCTCTAATATCCCTGATGACCGAAGCCCTGTATCCCTATGCCCGGTCATCACGAGTGATTGGTGGAGACCGCCGCGACTCAAGAACGAAGTCTGTAAGAACAAAAGCTCCACACCAAGGCCAATGCATGCCTTGTCTAAAGCACAGCCCCAACATGTAGTAAACGCATGTAGCATGCATATACATCGACATATCCATACACACACACACAGATCCGTAAAGATAGATATCTAACCATAGATATTGGGGAAGCTAAGGAGCCAGGGATGATGATCATCCCCATCAAACAAGGAGCTAAAGAGCCGAGGAAACCCCCAAAACCAGTGGTTAATATCCCAACACACACACTTACTTTCTTTTGCACACACTCACTATAGGTACCTGCAGGAGGCCCAGGAGCTCTACCAGCGGTTCTCCGACGCGTTCCAGGCAAACACTTGCCAATCCGAACAGGTTTTGGGTAGTGTTCCTTTTAGGCGCACTATATTATATGGTTTACTATGAGGCTTATGATGAGGGTTCCTAGAAGGGTACTTCAAGCTTCACCGTACTTCAGAACCCAAACGGCCTTTGCCCAAGCCACAGCTCACAAAGCTTTCACACGCAGAGACTTTCGCTTCTTTTGTCAACCTTCCTGATCATGGCACCAATGAGCCAGCCGATGGAGCAGCAGATCACCGTGGCTGGGCTGGTTAAGGGATGTAGCGCCAATGAAACGGTTAAATATGTTTCAACTAGTCGTTCCTCAGAGGGCGGACCCGGTAGAGTCGCTGCAGACCGGATGCAAAGTTTAAGTAGCCCTAATACTAATAAAGACTTATAGTAAATGATATGATGTCCTTAATTGCTTATTGTACGTATCTTAAACTAGATTCCTAAGAACCCAGGTGGAAGGCCCGACGATCGCTATCTTCAATGTGGCGATGATCGGGCACGTGAACCCTACTTTCGCATTGGTCCAGGAGCTCCGCAAGCGTGGCTGCAAGGTGCACTACTTCTTGCCGCCCGTTGCACCGATCCGTGCTGCTGCCGTCGAGTCCGGGGCAGTCGTGGAAGGCTACCTCCCCGATGATCCCTCAGACTTCGTGATGGAGAAATGTGGCATTGACGAGCCTTTGTGTCACATTGTGCCGGAGGTTCTGGAAACTTTGTCATAGTTAGGTAACATTTTACATATTTATGGGTACTTATTCCCAATAAGTAATAAATATGTACATTTTTGTGTTCCCATCCCAAGGAAGATGACCGTGCAGAATACGAGAGATCCGTTTGGCCCCTGGCCCAGGCCCTCGTGTGCGGGGAGCATGTCATAGAGCGGTGCCGACAGCTGGGAGTCAGCGTGGTTCTCTATGACCCCTTCCTTCCTCTTGGGCTTCTGGCAGCAACGAAGCTGCTTCGTCATAGTTGGGTAACATCTCAAGGGATCTACAGAGTTCCTTAAACGGGATGCATAGGGTTTCATAGCATTCTGCATTGTCATGGGGAGTCATGGGTACTTAAGCCCAATAAGGAATAATCATGTAAATTATAAAGATGCCATCCCAACCATGAACTAGGCTCGGCATCCAGGGTGCTTCCTTGGTCACCTACCCTGGCATGGGGAGCCTCTCTGGCTTGATGTCGACCTTGGAAGCTGAAGGGCGGCTGGGGCGTGCGGCCACTATCCGCAAGCCTTACGGCAAGGCTATCCAGGAGAAATTCGGCGTGGACTTGTCCTGCAACCTCCTCACTCGCCGGCAGTTCTACACGAAAACTAATTTTGTCACCACTTGTGAGGACTTGATCGCTGAGCTGCCAGCTTTGGGAGAGCAGAAATGGGCGGATGAGCTGCGCAAGGAGTTCAGCTTTTCTGCCGTCGGCTGCCTCGTCAGCAGCTCCGCGCCACACGTGATCACAGCACGGTCAGACAGCTTCATCCCGCGCGTGAAGAGCTTCGGTCACTCTTTGCCCGTGGCAGAGCTCTCGGATCAGCTGGCCAAGGGCAAGAAGATCCTGGGTATGCCTTTGGGATGTTTTATATTTTCCCTTATTGGGCTGAATAGGACCCTATTTACGAGTATTTTTGAGAGGCTTTAAAGGGCCAACCTAGGATCATCTATGCCGCCTTGGGCACTATGGCGCTTTCCGACCGGTGGGGCATCGACCTCGGCCGCATCAGTGCCGCCAACCTTCCTTCCGGAACCACTGGCAAAGCCTTCTGCCAGCATGTGTGGAAAGCTCTCCTCGCTGCCATGGAGGAGCTCGGAGATGATTTCTTCTGTGTTCTCTCGGTGGGGAAGCAGCCGGATGCCCTGGACTTTCTGGGCCGCAGCGAGGCAGAGATCTTCGAGCACGTGCCCAGCAACGTCCTGATCCGTGGATTTGTGCCACAGGTGGAAATGTTGAACAACTACGCATCAGCCTTTATCTCTCACGTCGGTTTCAACAGCCTCCAGGAGAGCCTCATGGCTGGAGTGCCCCTGGTGGCCATCCCACAGGCAGTTGACCAGCCTGCGAACGCCTCCAAAGTGGAGCAGAGAGGCTGGGGCCAAGCTTTCTTCAATCCCATGGAGACAGTCACCAAAACTGCTTTGGCGGAGGCCTTGCGCCAGGTCTGCGATCAAAGTGGCACCTACCGAGAGGCGGTGCAGTGTGCCCGCTCGGAGCTTGCGGGAGGCGCGCCGCGACTGGCCGAAAGTGTGCTCGCGATGGCCTATCAGAGCAGCCCCGCCTTGGGAGGTTGCTAAGGAGAGGCAAAAACATCGAAGCTTCGTGAGATCTAATTCATTCGACGCAGCTGTGCATGCTGCACAGCTTAACCCTTCCGTTTTCCCTGATGGGAAGAAGACACAGTGAACTCCGGACAGGAAAGTTCGAACGTCTCAACCATTTTTGCTTCAGCTCCTCTGAGCTGCTATGTACAGGGTGGGCCGATGTGCCACACCTGGCTTCTCCTCACGGCTGGACTTGTAAAGAGCCGGAGGTTCCCGTCGAAGTCCGAACCTCCCCTGGGGGCTTTGTACAGCTTGCCTCCCAGCTGAGCCGAGCCACGCCTGGTGCGAACATGCGCGGAAAAAGCTGCAGCAATCTGCCGTGGAGTCTTCTGATTCCCTCCTTGTTGTTATGATTTAGCGGACAAGCTGTGCATGCAGGCTTGATTGCATAGCTATTGCCACGTTAATCCTGCATGCTTTTGTGCTGCTGCTGCTGCTGCCACCACCACCACCACCGCCACCACCACTACAGCTACTGCTACTGCTATATCATTGCTGAAACTGCGGTTGCTTCTTTGCGACGACTACAACTGCTCCTACCGAGCACTTGGGCGTGCGTTCGGGGAGTATTTAATTCGAAGCCCCAGCATCTTTGGTGCATGCGCGGAGCCTTGTACTGGACTGCCAGAGCGAGTGCAAACTGCGATCTAAGCTGCACACTGTTCCGCCTCGAGCCGGCAGGTTATGACTGAGATCGAGACCACTGTTGAGTCGGAGGACGATTCCTATCGGGCCGAGCCAAGACCAGGTGGGGCGCTGGATCATAATCGAGCTAGACATTGAATTTGCAACCTTTAGCGGGGAGCCTCGCCACTAGCGATTGCTTCGTTCGATGTGAAGAGAATCTGAATCATGCGGCTATATTCCGATGTCCTCAGGCAGGCACAGGTATTTGCTACTGTAGCTTATCGGAGCCACGGCAGACGCTGGCAGGAGGCGTTCCCCAGGTCCTGAAGAGTTTCGACCCTCAGGGCTTCTACCAGATCCTGCCCGGGGACTCCCGGCAAGCACTTTTGGGGTTTACTTAGGGGTGTTTAGAAATAACTTCAATTTGTGGTTATTATAAACCCTAAGAAACAGCTAAAATTATAATTTGTGCTAGGGTATGCTAGGGTTCTAAGTTCAGTATAGTTTAGGGTGTTGGGTTTAGGGTTTAGGGATACTCCTCGGGTCTGAGACGCCATCAAACTCTCTCCCTCTTTGGTGGCAGGACTGGGTAGACAAGCTGGTTCCCTTGTTCGTTCTCCTGCTCTAGCTCATGCCATGAAGACGACGCAGATAAGCAAGCGCAGTTCACATATTGCACTTGTTTAGGGAGTCGCAACCCTCCTTCTCTGTCTATATTTTACATGTTGGTTGCGTAGCGTTGTGTATCTGTCAGAAGCATACCCACATGTACACGGACCGAGAAAGACAACCGAGAAAGACATGCAAAGAAGTTGTGGGGATGTGGTCATATCGTGCACGTCAAACTTGAGCTGTTCTCATTCACACTTGCACAGGGTACCGCACGTAAGCTCGAAAGAAGGGCGTGGCTCGCGGCAGACCTGGCAGCTTCGGAAGCTTTCAGCGAGGTTTGGAAGCTGGTCTAGCGCACAGGGCCGGGGGATGTCTAAACGGCTTTAAAGCAATAGGACCAGGGCAAGCCAAGTCTGTTGATTGCCGTTGCTCAGGATTTCTTGATGACACATCCCATTTCCTGCATCGCGGAGCCCGTGTTCGACCAGGTGGGACAGATCGACAGAGTGTCTACTGTATATGCTGCTTCCGCCACGGTCGCCACTGCATTTCGCTGCTGTTGATGTTGTTTGCTGATGCTGTTCAGCTCCTGCTCCTGCCACCGGCATGAGTGACGGTATCACGACCTGCGACGGTATCCGCAAAGAAGGCAACAACTGCTCATAGTACTAACCATGCCAGTGCTCATGCTACTCCTGCTGCGACTCCTTCTATGCCTGCTTGTGCTGCCACTGCGGCTTCCTCTAATCATCCTGCTGCCGCGGCTTATCCTTTTGGCTTTGCTTGGTTTTATTTGGCTTATTTTGGCTTTATATAAGAACGGATTCAAACCTAAAACTTACATCAATGACAACCGCAGTTAGCCACAATGATTACCACGATCGCCCAAACAATGATGACAACAACTACCGCAGACCCTGCGACGACGACAACGACTATTACTACTACAGTCGCCACTTTGCTACTACTACTACTACTACTACTACTACTACTACTACCACTACTACTACTACTGCTGCTACTACTACTACTACTACTACTACTACTCCTACTAGTATTCTTCTCCGCGACACGTGCTGCCACTGCTGCTGCCGCGGTTTACAGCTAGGATGGGAGCAGCACTGCCAATACAGCAATACAGGGATGACGGTTGCCATGACCACCACTACTATTGCTGCTTCTACTTCTGCCCCTGTTGCTGCAACTACTTCCCGAGAAGGGGTGCAGAGGGCGGAAATTCGGGAGCCACCTTGCTTACAGCAGTCTTACAACTGTCCGAGCACCGTCCCCTGTACTCCGGGCGATGCCAACACATTGCTAACTACCATAGGATCCGCAATACTTACCCATACTATCTTGGGGATTCCTTCTCATATTTACAATATAGTAGGCCCCCAAACCCTGTAGGCCCCTATATTATCCATCATGGCTCAAATTGAGCAAGCTCACCAGCCGTTGCTGTGCTGCATGTCAGGCCGTGGTCATACTACACACCAACTCGGACCATCCGCTCACCGATTCGGGAGTTGTGTGCCTTGGACCTGTTCCCGAGCCAATGTGGAGAAAGCATCAGGTCGATCATAGAAGGTGTTGCGCTACTTGCGTCATACTGTGGACCGGCCACCCAGCTGGTGAAGCCCCACATCATCAGTAGCAGTCAAGTCTTTTAGTGTTGTACGTATGTATATATATATATATATATATATATGCATACTTATACAGTATATGTACAAATATCTCTGCGACGTATCACTCCGAGAGGCTCATTCATGAGCTGGCATGCCAAGGCTCCGTCAGCTTTCCGTGTAAAATCGGAAGCAAGACCCCATGTAGCATCCCCTGTACACACGCACCCGGAACCTCATCCTCAATCTTGAAGCTTCAATGCTGGCCAATAACCATAATATTTTGGTTCCGCCGACGGAACACCCAACACTTGGCTGAG